ATGAAATGCTGGTTATCTTTTGAATGCTCACAATTAAACTAATTACAATAATTTAACAACTAAGAAATACAGGAAGAGATTTGGAGAAACTGTATCCACAGAAGGATGACACACTCTCTCTCAGGGTGACCATGCACAGATTGCCCCGAGAGGTTGTGGAATCTCCATTCTTGGAAGATATTCAAAAGTAATCTGAACACAGTCCCTCCTGGGCAGCTGTCTTTAGGTGACCCTGCTTGAGCAGGGAGGTTTGACTAGATGACCTCCAGTGGTTCCTTCTGTGATATCTGAGATTTAACCTTTCCCCACCTGCTGTTGCAAGAACTGAGGTCAGCTGCAATGTCTCTTTTTTACATCTCTAGACTGAAATACTTTCCTGAAAGGTAAGTGATGCAGTGCAAAGTGTTTGCTAATTTTTGCATGTAGTTATTATTTACACTTCTGTTTATGTAGATGTATCATATCACTGCGAGTAAATTTATGTTTATACAATGTTTTTAAGATATAAGGCATTTGTGTGCTCTCCTATTCACTCAGGTACAGTTTTTCGTGCATGATAAAAACAATTCACTGCCTCTTTTAAGGTTAGTACTCCAAATCCAGCTCTCATGTACTTTTTATTCATCTGAGTTGATTGTACTGTAGCTTCTTTATGGACTCTTTAAAATATGCACTAATAAAATCTTATTAGCTTTTTATTATCAACTGTCTCAACATACAAATATTGGAAGCCGCAGGGATTTTCTGGTCACTGCGAGCATGACTCCAGATTAACTAGCAATCAATGCATTTGTTATACTGTCTCTGGCAATTGATGTTTCTGAAAAGGTAACAAATTTTTAGCATCATTCAGGCAATTTACAGAGATAATTCTGTCTTTAAGGGCACTCCGTTTATTTCAACACAACATAGGAATGAAGTCAATCAGGGTAAGTTGCTATGATTTACTGACACCTCCCTCTAGCTGATGTTCCACAGCTGGCTGGGCAAAAATTTTATGTTAGAAACACACCAGGTATTTAGGACCTTAACTTGCTATAAATTCTTTGAAGTCAATAGGTAGGATTTAAAAATCAATGGAAGGATATGGCTCAAAAGTGCTTCTTCCAAAACTATAACGGTACAATTATTATCACTGAGCACTCACTTATACGTAAGATCTGAACACTGAAATAAAAGCCTTCAAAAAATATATACATGTGTGAGATGACATTGAAATCAAGGCATTTAAGTCCCTAGATAGCTCACCTGATTAATCTCACCAACAAGAACATCTGAATGTCTCTAGAATAGAAAGGCATTGACAATGGCCGTGCTTTCTTGGTGGAGTACTTTAAAGTCTGCTATTTTAAAAGTTGTTATAGGAGGACATTGTGAGAAAACAAGATAAATGTTTTAGTGAGGAATTACATGGTTGAGAAATCATACATGAGGGATACTCCTCCCAGTAGATTTCACTGATTTTGCATGAGTACACTTTGGTTACATTAGACGTGGGTTTGGTGGAACATAAATTTTAAGGATGAGGAAGCAGTTGTTAAATTTACCTGACAGAGCTAAAGAAGGTGTTAATCTCTATTTTTGTTCTCCTAATGGTACCAGACATTATATCTTTTAAGACCACAGGCTTTGGCTCCACAGTGAGTCAACAAAAAAGAAAATATTTGACTACATGAACTGTTAGAAGAACGGTCCTTATTACAAATATCATTCAAATGCAGCATGAACAGTACATCCCCAAATTCTATCAAAAAAATAAACACACAACTCAAATGAGGATATTCCAACCACTTAAGTATTACCATAATCAAAAGTATGCAAACAAGGGGATGAACAAACATCATAAACAATGTTACTCTTCAGAAGTCAAATTCTCTCTGCAGTAGACAGAATTGGTAGCAAAAAAATCATCGTTAACTTTGCTTATCAGATGCCAAGGAAAGATAAGAAGATAATCATGTCTAAGTTCACATGGCCACATTGACTGGTGTTGAACATATACCCACTGCAGCAAAAGCTGTACAACTGCCCAGCTCTGCCTCTGGTAAGACCTGGGGTGTTTTACCCATTACAAAATAATAACTTGCAAAGAAATGCACAGATATATATACCCAGTCCTGGATCAATGCTTATAGAGGCCTGTTTGCCAATGACTTTGCAAAGAGAAACCCAGCTCTGTAAACAACTCTTATTGCTTGCTACATGAACTTTCAAAAGTCTTTCATTAACTTGTGCACTTTGAAATTTTCCAGAAGGCAATTTTTAGACATTAATACAGACACTTTTTCCATTTTTATTGCAACCTGAAATGTTCCTTTAATAATTTCCATGGCAAACCAGGTAACAATACATTTAACATTTCCATCAAATAACTTACATTTTAATTCTAAGTATCCATATAAAATTCATTTTTTTAAGCTCTAACCCCAGAATCATCTGAGATTTTAAAACTCTAAACCCAATAGGGCTTAACAATTTCCATGGTTTACATTATTAAGACCTGCAGTTCTCAAATGTGCATATCCCCTCAGAGGAGCACTGAACCTCCTGATCCTTTCATTCACACATTACTTTGGCCAACAAGTAATGGCATCATTAGAGCCTTTGTACAGGGCTTCCTCCAGTGCAGAGCAGCTCTGAGTTTTGGCCCTGCAGCATGCTTCACCAGCTTGTGCCTCCAGAGTGGAATTCCTGGTTTTACAGCAGGTTCTACAGCATTTATATTTTGCTTGTGCTTTTTGACAGCAATCCAGGTACTATATGCCAGGCCTGGAATAGTGGGTGCTGTGTCTGAGTGATGGAATCCCAAAACTATTTTCAGGATTTGGAGGTCTTGTTCTCATTTACAGCTCTCTGGAAATTTAGAGAGACCTTGAAGTGGGCTGTTTTGGTACTGTATAAGCTTAGAAGGCCTGTAGCCTTATAAGATCAGGCAGTTCTTTTATTTAAAATAAAGACTGAAGGTATTCTTGTGCAAGTATAACTGTTGATTCAAACTTTTCAAATAATTTGAAACCGCCACAAAAATTTTCTCTCCAAGAAACATTAGAGAAAACAACTCTTTATTTTCATACAGAAATGGAATAATCAAAGTTAATCTGTATTCTCAGAATTGAGGTATTTATTGTTCCACAGGAGTAAAGATGTTGGATTGCACCGGTAAAGGTGTTTTGTGCATTTTCACTCTGGTGCTGGATACCCGAAATGCCACATCCTTCAAATACTTACTCTGAACGAAGAAGATGAGTGTGCTGAAGGAGGTAAGAAACACAAGAGTATACTTAAGTCAGATTTTTCTGACAGAGCAGGGATGGAAAGCTCACCCAGATATACACCTGGGGTGTCTCAGAGCTGGGTCTTCAGCGTGTTGCAGGACGTGCTCGGTACTTCGCAAGACTGAGATCTTAGTCGTAAAAACGTATTTTACGTATAAAAATACAGCAGATGTCCTTCCAGAAATCCTATCTTAAGTGTTATTCCCTCTCATTATGTTTTGTACATTCAGGAACAGACATTTGAGATATACCGTGAACAGTGCAAAAGACTGTTTTATATTTATATAACCACGCTCTGCGGTACCTTTAAGCGACAACTGAAGGAAAAGCTGAGAAACGTTTCATCCTCAGAGCAATTCTGGTCCAAGTCGAACTTTTGTTTAGTGAGTTGTAAACAACTGTCTTAGAATGCAGAGAATCCTCTCATTTCTTTCCAGCTAAGGTGGTCTCAAACACATCAAGTCCTGCTTTGAAGTAAACCTGAGCTGAATTGATGCTGTTCAGCACCTCTGACAAGGCTGCCTGAATGGTCTCGTTTGACTGATGTAGTTTGCAGTGCTCCAGTGCCTCCAGCAGTAGTGAAAACTGGCTGGTCCTTTCATCGAGTCTGTAAAGAATATTTCTAGAAGAGAACAATGGAGAGAATGGTAAACTTCTTACTCAAAACAATTCATCAGAAGCCATCAAGAAACCCTGCAAGTATCAGCCACACTTTACAGATGATACGTATTATGCACAGTAAAGCTGACCCATGGCAAAGTGAAAGGCAACTGCATATTTATTACACCTTGTTCACTGAACTATGAGTACATACATTGAAACAGTCACTAAATCCATCAAAGAAATCTCACATTCCTCTCTGACCATTCAAGATTTTATTCAAAAGCCTGAGCTTACACCTATCACATCCCTCATGAAGGATTTTGCGTATCAGCTGGATTCCATTTATTCCCCTCTAAAAAAACGTTTGATTATTGCTGTGAGCCCTCAGCACAGGTCTAGGGTTGTTTTTGTTTTTCCTATCCGCTCCTGTTATTTATTTCCCTCTTCAGAGGTGAAATTCCAGCTACATTGAAGTCAATGGTGAAACTCTCATTGCCTTCAGCAGAGCCTTTATTTCATCAATAATCCTTTGTGGCATCAGAACAAGAGCAACCCATCTTTAATGTCACATACTCGAGGAAGGAAATAAACAGCACACACAGCTATACCCTTGTAAAACAAAACCTGAATTTTCCTAGAATATCTGAAAAACTTTTTAATGGTTTATAGAAAAACACATGGAAGAGTGTTGTCTGATCCCTTGGAAATGTTATCTGTATGAGGTGTGGAAGGCTCAGAATTCAAAGCTAGTGAGTGATTTTAATTAGACTCTTTGAAGCAAGCTATAAATGCTATCCAAAACCAGGTGTAATCATTATTTTAATTAGAAGAGCATGTAAATATCATAAATCTCCACCCAGCAGCTCCTTTGATTGTAAACAGAAATGAGTGAAATTTGAAACAGGAAAGCTACAGTGATTTGGCGCAGGACCTTATCCTTAAATACAAGGCAGGTGTTCAGGGTAGGGAGACGTTGTTTCATGGAATGCAACCAGCAAGAAACAGGACAACTTACGTACTTTGTTAGTAACTTAGTTGCATGACAGAACAGGCCAAATGGCAACTCCAAATTAGTAATAAAACGGCCAAATACCTACAAGACAGATGACCACAAAAGGGCATCTTATTATTACAATGAATCACCCAATTGCCAGTCTGCCAGGGAGAAAAGTAAAAAAGTATCCCTATAAATGACAGCACAGAACAACTACAATCCTCTGCCATGCTTTCTGTTTTTTAATAAAAATACTGTTTTGAACGAGAGGCAGTGTTTTTCAATATGAAGTAACTGCTATCCTCATAAGACAATTTTTCAGCCTATGTTTTTGCCTTCCTATGTTGGGAAAACATAGGAAACCCAGCAATGTGCAGTAGGAAAGGTAAGCTTTTCATCCCCTGGCAGCAATACATCCATCCATTTCAAGGGTTCTGCAATGCAATACACTGCAGTTTTAAACAGAGGAGGGAAAGGGGTTGAATCCAACACTGCAACAGCAGGACAGCTTACGCAGTTTAAACAATAGGTCATCACTGACCTCGATCATTTAGACTGAAACAGGCTAGGAGCACTTCCAGGAACAGCTCAGCAGGGACAGGAATTTCCATCAAGAGGACTGTAACAGGCAGATGTGGCAATAACTTCCTCAGCTTGCACTGTTCCTTAGCTCTGAGCTGATGCTGCTGTTCCTCAGACTAACATGCATCTCACACTCAAAGGGGACTCAAGTTATATGGTGGACTGTCCCAAAGCAGTCCCTGTGATATAGTAAATGAAAACTTTATATGCTGAGAACCAGATAAATTCCTGGTTGGTTGGTTTTCAAGGATAAGGCTGTGCTATGGGAAATACTGTATTTTTCAAAGCAGGGATTGATTTTGCTCCCTCTGAAATCAGTTCAGGGACTCCTGCTGAGATCAGTGCAAGCAGAACTAGGCTTTTGAAGAACTCTCCTCTATAGTTCCTGTAGTTCACAGGGAGAAAGAAGCCTGTTCACAACCCCTCAAACACCTTCAACAGCAAGGACAGTAGAAAATAGAAATAATCACATTACTTTCTACTCTTAGGAGAGATCTTATTGCTGGTGGCTGAGAGACTTTGACTGAGCTGGAATTCTATTCCAATGCCTACAATACTGGTTCCCTGATCTATATTAGGATCCCTCTATTCCTTTATTAGGGGTAATGTCAACTAGTAAAAAAAATCATAAGATGATAACCATCAGCAGAGCAACACAGACTGCTAGAAATCAGACTCTAAAGAGAGGGTGGCCTAAACACTGGAATGTCTGGGGACTGCTGAGACATTTGTGGTGAATAGGAACAGATCTTCTCCTGCCCCATCTTCAAATGTGCTCCAAACAAGGCACACAGGCTAAAAGGATGGTTTGCCTTGACACATAAGGATGCTAACACAGTTAAAATTTACTGTGTGGCTTTGGAATCACAGGTGATTGAACAGTAAAGGCACAGGCAGGTGATCCACTGTAAAAGACAGGTGTTCCTAGCCCATCCCACCTGACTGTGGTGCAAATTAGTGACTGATGAGAAAAGCTTAGTGGTTGGATGAATGAAAGAGATAAGCAGTCTGCTGTCATAGTTAAAATAATAACTTTTGCTATAGTAATATGACTTCAGCATAGCATGGTATGACAGAACCTACTTTTTGTTTTTATGTAAATAATAATAATAATAATAATAATAATAATAATATAATAAGTAACATTATACAGCACCTGGTTTTTTTGAATTTTCTGCTAGGAGTTCTCACTAGGATCTTATATTTTCCAATTACTTATCTTTGCTTGGCAAGCCATGCCACTCCTTTGTTGCATAAAATGATTTCTCTCTTTATGCACGTTCATGAGAAACAATTTATACAAGTTTACTTCTTATCTCCGTCCAAGCTTCATCAAATGAAAAAAATGGTCAGTCCAGTTTATTACTTCCAAGCCTTTACAAGTCAGAAAAGTGTTTTCATTAAAGATTACACAGGGACTGAAAAATAAACCCCAGCCATTTTACTGGCACAAGATATCACTATGTGCCCAAAACATGCATAATGATAGCAAGAGACTTTAATTTGTACTGTGAAATTCAATTACCTAAACATTCCTTAACACAAATTGGTTTTGTAGCCTACACCTCTAAAACAACAATTCCAGTCTCTGGCCTAATTGCTTAAGTATCTACCTTCATCTTTAACTATTTTGATCTTCTAAATGCAATTCACAAAGTCAGCCTGACGACCCACACAAAACAAAAAGAGACTCCTAAACAGAAAACTGCAATACATTATTGATAAGACTAATGAAATCACAACACACATCATTCATCTTAATGGACTTGTTCCTATGACACATCTCAGTGACCTGAAAAGTGTAACACTGAAGCAGGAAACCCAAGCAAGAACTTCAGGCAGTACCACTGAAAGAGGGAAAATAGCTCCAAACAAAAGAACCGGCCTTAGCAAAGCAAAGTAAAGCAAAGAAACTATAAAATTGAACTCTTAACAGAACCTCTTCTAGAACTTTTATGAGCCCTTTTCAGGCCTAGGAACATAAGCATTACTGATCAAAATAATGCCATAAAATGCTGTTTATCACAAGTAAGGAGGTAATGTCATACTCACCAGAACAGAATGAATCTGAAAAATTCTTGAAACGACAGATCACACTAAAAATTTGACTTTAACACAACTTCAAACTATTCTGGAGGTTATAGTAGAACAACTGGACAGTATAGGATAAAACGAGATTATTACATTATTCTTTCCAAGAAAAAGGATTTTTTAGTTTATAAGAAAAGTTTGCAGGTGATGTGCAACACAAGCTCAATTATTCAGGTACTTACAACAAGACTCCCATCTAAGAGCCTGTATTTGAGATTTTGAAAAGTAATTATTAAATCATTAGTACATGATGGCAAGTACACTGTCCTTTTCTCTGTGGAATCACATTAGAAATGTGTACAGGTAAATGCTATGGGCAGCCTCTGTCTATTCCAGTTATAACACAGTGTGCTATGACTTCAGCATCCTCACAAACTCAATTTTATAAATCCTCGAATTGTTTCTTCTTGTACTCTCCAAGAAAAAAAAAAACAAAAACACACCAGAACAAGGATTCTCTGAGTTTCACTTTCTCCTGATACTGCTGAATTTTGCATGCACTTTTCTTACATCTAGGAGTTTGGTTTCATTGATGTTTGTAAAACATAAAATATTATTACCTTGGTAAATAAATAAATAAATGCATTCTAATAACATTATTTACATGTTGGAACTTCCACTTCCACAGGGTGTTTATTTACTGTAGGACATAAAAATATTACAAATTCTTCTTACCTGAAAACAGCACGAGCTGATTTATACTCATTTATTTACACTTGCTTGCACCTAAGAAAATTTTATGTTGATGGTACAAAAAAATTTCCCTTCTTCCTCTCGGTTCCTTATCCTTTTGATCTCCAACAGTTCTTCTCCTTTCCACTCTTCTTATTTTCTAAACCTTTTTGACACCCACATGCAGTTATATTATCTTTCCTGTTTTACTTCACAGCACTATTGTGGTAGAAGGTTTATCATTATAAAATTGGAGCTGCTGGCCATATAAGACCAAGAGAAAATACATGCCCTGGTAAACTGTCATTCATTACATGTCATTAGAGCTGCAAACGTCACTATTCCTTCACTTTCCTAAGTCCCCAAAAACTCAGCACATCATATTTAAGGCCTTTTTATTTCTAATATGTTGTTTCTAACTTTTGCTTGCTCCTTTTAAAAAGAGCCATCAACTGCCTTCCCTTGGTGTTCTCATCTACAAACTGTTCTACCAATATATACTTTCCAGAAAGTGATGCATTAAAATCATGTACACTCAGAGGTGAGTGTCTGCCTCAAAGGTATGTATTTGCATGTTATCAGCAGTTGATAAGCTACAGGTAATCCAGATATCAAACCTAAATAAGATCTAACCAGCTGAAAGGCATTTCAAAGGCATTGTTCTGTGACAGTGGCAAACC